GCATTTTGCACGCCTATATCATCTATTTGTATGATAACTTTGATAACTTTTAACGTACATAGTGGTCAAAGTCATAATATCCGTAAGATTGTATAAAAAATAAAACAAAATTATTCATGAAATTTTTTTAAAAAAATTCGATAGGATTAAAATGGTAAAAAATGAATTAAGTTGCATTTCTACATTTTTTATGGATTCTTTAACATTTCAAATATTTAATGTAGTATTATCAAAATCGTATTTTCAACTTAAATTAATTACATAAAACAAGATGATTTAAAGCATATCTACATCATGTATTTTTTTTTTTTTTTGAAAAAAAGCTGAATAGAAAAATGAAGATGTTGACTTGGGGAGATGAAGAAAGTGAAGAACAACGAATGAGTCAAACAATTACGTACTAGTTTTTACAAAATCTTCAATCCCTCCACGTGGGAAATGGAGGAGGCCGGTGGGGGCAGTCTAAATTATTTTTCCTACTTTTTACTTTTATTATTTTCTCGCGTCTGACAAGTAAAATATATATATATATATATATCAAATTAGGTAGGTCCCCAAGACTCGCCCGAGTTGATTCATTGGTTATGCATAGTCCATTAGCAGGCCCCACATCCTCATCATAATTATTAATTATTATTTTTAAAAGATTATTATTATTGTTATTGTTAAAAAAAACAGATTACAATAGATATTATAATTTTTTTTTTGTAATTCATTTTTAAATAAAATTTTTAATTATCTTTTTGAATATTAAATAAATGTATTTATTTTCTAAAACAATTAATTTTATATGAAATGATAAAGTATAAATAAAGCTCAATTTTATTTATTTTTTATAAAAAAATAAATTATAATAAAGATCAAATTATATGGACAAATCTTTTTTTTTTTTTTTAACAACTATGTGGTATCTTGAAGTTAGTTACATTATAGTTAATTCATTTATTACTCTTAACATCACATTATAATAATTAGTAATTGAAATAATAAACAAATTATTTATCTATAGAAAATACATATATTTTATAATTCTTATATTATTTATCTATTTTTTTTTTTAAAAAAAAGTATATATAGAAGTGAAATCCAAATGATAAACTTCAACACAAGTCTTTTTTTATTTATTTATTTTGACCTAGTTATAATTATTTCTGAAAATAAATTTAAAATTAACTAAAAGAGAATACAAGGAAAGGGAGAAAACGTGAAGCAAGGAAGAAAGAGATGCAAATAACATGGATGCAGAAACAGAGTACAAAGGAAGAAAACACTAAAATTAAAGGAAAACGAAGCCACCGCCTGCTACGTTTGTTTACTATATATATATACACATATACATACATACATACATATTTGTCATTTATCTATGTACATTTTGAAGAAAAATATATAAAAAGGAACCAATCCCTTACAGACGTGTCCATTGCCGTTGAAAACGCGCATTTACCTCTCCTCCTCTTTTCTCTTCTCCTCTTTTCTCTTCTCCTCTGTTTAATCTTCTTCTTGTGTTTGTCAACCCATGGGTTTGCCTCTTTCTCTCTGGCACCCATGACCTGCATTTTCTAATTTCCACTCTGTTATAACGATTCTTATAGTTACGGAACCGGAGAAACCGTTTCTTCTCTGGCTGATAACTCATTTTTCAACCACTAATTGAGCTGCCGGAAGGGGGTGCTCGGGACAGCTTTTGATAGGTTGGTGACGCTTATGGATCTGAGGAGATTGGCGCGAGTGCTGTTCGTCGCGGTGGTTCTGGTGATCTACCTTCACGGTGAAGTTGCTCGTGCCAACATTCTGTTCCGAGTGCAGAACAAGTTCGCTGGGAGAGAGAGGAGTCTTGGTGCTCTCAAGGCCCATGATGCCCACCGTCACGCCAGAATCCTCTCCGCCGTCGATCTCCCTCTCGGTGGCGATAGCCTTGCCGAGTCTGCCGGGTTCGTCCTTCCCCCTTCCTTCGATTTTGATTTTCTGTTGTCGTTTTACGTGAAGTAAAACGAGTGAATTGGATTGTTTTGTAGCCACTTCCGTTGCTTTCTATTGTTTTAATTCTCTTTTGCATAGGTATACGTCTATACAGTTACGTGTATATATTTGTGCGCACAATATGAAATTTGATGCGTGCATAACTTTCTTTAATGAACGAACATAAATGCGTTTTATCCTTTTTAAGTTAGAGATGTTTGTTGTTCGAAATTAAATTAGCAAGTCAAAGAGATGTTTGATTATCATGTTGTAGATTCTGAGATGTCTTAATAATATTACCTTATTCAGCTAATGGTAGCTTTGGCTCTGAACTTTCTATTATAGTAAGTTATCGATTTCTTTTTCTTTGCATAACAAGTTTGCCTGAGCTAGAAGTGGTTTCTTCAAGAAAATGCTTCTATTTTTCTTTTAATTTAATTTTCTGTAATCATTGTGATCCTCTTTTATCTAAAACCTTTTTTAAAAAAAATTATTTTACGGCTTGATTTTAGTGTTCTTTTCCTGTTCCATTTGTTGGAAGTCAATACTCTCACCATACTGATACTAGGGCTTTTCTCCTTTTGAACTTTAATTAATACTTTGTAGTAGATTCAATTCTCTAGAGACTGCTGATACAAAATTCATAAACAGTTGGAAAGAATTTACTTTGCAGTTGATGCTTTTTTTTTTTTGGGGTCCTGGTAAAGATTTTAAGGTCTAATGGAAGTCTTCATTTTCCATTATGATATTTTCTTACTTTGCTCCATCGTTTTAGGCTATACTTTACAAAAATTGGGCTTGGATCTCCATCAAAGGACTATTATGTGCAGGTTGATACAGGAAGTGATATCCTCTGGGTGAACTGTGCTGAATGTACAAGGTGTCCCAAGAAAAGTGATTTGGATGTATGCTTCTGGAACCTACATGAAGTTCCAATGTCTTATCTTGAATTGTAATATATATATATATATGTATATCTGTATATATAGATCTTTTGTGGTGATTGAAATATGCTCTCATCTTATTATAATGGATTTCTGCAGATAAAACTCACATTATATGATACGAAGAGCTCCTCAACTGCAAAAAGGGTTACTTGTGATGATGATTTTTGTTCTCTTATAAGTAGCAGTCAATCATCTACCTGTCAGTTAGGCTCTCCTTGTGAATATACTGTTGTTTATGGAGATGGAAGCTCAACTAATGGGTACTTTGTGAGAGACACCGTACACCTGGACCAAGTGACCGGAAACCATCAAACTGGATCAACAAATGGGAGTATTGTGTTTGGGTAAGTTAAGTTTCTACCATCACACGGTTGTCATTTTGTGCTAAGAAACTAGGGCTTGCTGGGTTGTATACGCTTATTTGGCTGCATAACATTTTTTTGTATTGAACTTTGACTTTTGGTTCTTCTATCTGGGTTGTATACGCTTCGGTGTTGGAAAGAAAGATTTATTATAACAGGTCCACTTTTGGGTTTGCTGGTAGTGTA